ATTCGGTATCGTTGTTATAACTGGAATATAGTACTAATGAATAGAATTTGAGGGGTTATGGATAACATTTGATTAAGGCTTGTGTTAAATATTGGGCGGGGTTTTTATTCAATTTTCAACAGAAACGCGCAACATAACCGAATTTATTCACTGTTGTTATATGTCCAGTGGCAAATATAACATTTATATCGGCAGTGCAAATGACGGCGTTAATCTTGAAATGATAAAATTAAATTAAAAAGAAGTTTTCCACTTAAGTTAAAGAAATACAATACGGAATCCAGAAATGATTTTAATCATGCCGGTTTATTTTTCTAAAACATGTTTGCTTCCTTTCTGATAATAGGGAAGAATGAAAAATTTCCCAGGAATGGACAGTAACTTGAACTTTCTCTATAACTTAATGTTGTCATCAGTTAATCAGTTAACCGGACCTTTTTTTCAATTTCAATAGTAAAGTTATGTAAAAAAAACATACATTGAACAGTTGTAAGCGGATCAAATTATATAATTTAGTTATTCATTTCACTTAAAGGGGCATTAGCTGTCAAATTCATCTTCACCGATTTGACTCAAATTCTCATATTTGATTTATAACATACTAAAACGTATATCCAAATTACAAAATGTCTCAAAATAAACAATTAACAATGCATGGACTCGATAATATGTATCAACATTTCGTGTGTATTTTTGTCTAGACGTCATCTAATTAGCCATCGGATGACATCCGAAGACTGCCGACGGTCATATAACCCGATATAAGCATAAATATAAATATAAACAGATAGCGTCCACGTGCAATTGGATTTTTCTAGGTCTGTTTGATTTCATATTGTAGGGTAAAAGGTATGTTTATCGTCGTTTTAACCTGTGTGAGAAAGATTTTATTTTGTGGATCGAATCAGTCAACCAAATTATTCATCCTTGTTTCACTTTCAATGTTGACATCCTTTTCCTTTTAATAGCTGAATACATGCGTAACCCATCTCCAGCTAAGAGGTTAAATTAAAGGTCACATGAATACGGATTCAATGAGGTCGAATTATTCACTTGCAGGTGAATAATTCATCACCGATATTTTTTATCTTATTTTGACAAAATTGAACCAAATTGGCTGCTAAAAGCGAATTAGTATTTCACTATATCACTTTCATTAAGGGAACGACCATTTAACTTCAAAGGGGGGGGGGGGGGGGGGGAGGGTATAGTTTTTCCTAAAAAAAAAAATTTGGATCCCCAATTTGATGAAAAAATTATTGTGGTGAAGGAGATGACAGAAAAAAATATTCTGAATCCAGATTGGCCGCAACCTAGGATCCAAAATTTTCTGTAGCTAAAAATGATGATATTGAATCCCTAGACGCAACAACTTTCTGGATCAGGGGTGGCGGCCAAAGTAAATTATGTCAAAAACTGTTAAGAATTATTGAATGTGAAGATAATATAACGACATCTGTAGACACCTAGACCAGACTATCATGGAGTTGAAACCCATTTGGCATCGACCATTCATGGTATGTGATTTTTTTCTCAGGACAGACAATTTTTTTTTCTTGACTTAATTCAAACACACAAACTATTTTTTTCAACAACATACAGGAACAAGAAAAAAATTTGAAACTCAATGTTGAATTGTTCCAATGTCCACCACATTGCACATATTTTATCTATCCAAGGACAATAACTGTTCTTTATAACTTTTTACAAATATCTTATATGAAGGCTTGAAAGCAATTTCAATGCAATTTCCAATATAGTTAATATTTGAAAGGGGCATAACTCTTTTAAAAAAATTTGATCAGCACTAATTTTCGAACTTGTCCCAAACATTGCCAATGTAAATCCTTTAGTATAAATTCGATAAAATCTGGCAAAAATTGTACACATGAGAGCGCTAACAATGCAATTTTCCATATAATTAATATTTCCAAGGGGCATAACTCTTTTAAAAATATATGATCGGCACTAATATCCGAAATTGCCCAAGACATTGCTGATATAAACCTATGATTTAAGTTTTTATAAAAATCTGGCAAGAATTGTACACGTGAGAGTGCTAATAAGACCGGATGGACAGACGCACTGACGGATGGATGCCCGGTATTTCTATGTCCCCGCTATTCAAAGTATTACTTATCACTTTTACTGAATGGTAGAGCATAATAAACTGAGATAAATGTATGATATTGCAACAGCATAGCAAATATTAGTGCCTGCAATCTGGTCTGTCATACAAACTGTTTCTGAAATAGCAGCAAGAAACAATTTATCAATCAATAAACTGATTGAACTAAATCAAATAACATTCCAGAGTGTTGATGGAGATGACAGTAAAACTAATTCCCAGGAGCCTGTTATTCAGTGGTTGTCGTTGGTTCATATTCGTTTTTCATTAATTGTTATGTTATAAATCAGTTTACTCTTTTGAATTGTTTCACATTTTGTCATGTCTGGGCTTTTAAAGCTGACTATACATTATGGATATTGCTTATTGTTGAAAGCCCTACAGTACCTATAGTTGCTTACATACATGTCATTTTGAACTCTGGTTGATAGTTGTCTCATTGTCAATCATACCATATCTGCTTCATTCTGATTAAAATATAGATCCTGTATCCAATCTTCACTTGCAAGGATCTGAAAACGCTCTGTCCTACTTTCTGTTCTAGTAATTATTACATCATCCAATGAAATTTCTGCCTACATACTTTTGAAGGTGTTTATTATTATGACAAAACCAGAGGATCCCAAAAGGTTTTTAAAACAGAAAGTAGAAACAGATCATCATTTTCAGATCCTTGTAAACAAAGGGTGGACACAGGATCTGTATTTTATCAGATTGTGTTTCCTTATTTTTATATTTTTCAACATGAGGTTTCAGCTGTATTATCAACAAATATTACAGGAAATCTTGTTTTGTAGTTTCCTTTTTTGTAACCAGAGTATAGGTTATCCATTAGTGTATCCATATCTCAAATTCCTCTTTTGAGATAAATAATGTGAAAAATATCAAAGATTGATCGATTTTATTTCAATATTGCACACTACTGAGTTAATAAATGACACATAAATGAGATGTGTAAATACTAAGACAAAAATAGTAACTGTGGATGATCAGTCTTAAGAATTAGTCTGGTAATGATATACTATATGATATAAAATTTACAATCTATATAAAATATGGATTATCAAACAGTGATCGTTCATTCAGTATGTATAAAAGTTGTAAATTGAAATTATTTTGTTCATCAAATTCCACAAAAATCCATCAAAAAAGGAAGTGGCTACTTAATTATGATTCATTTTTAGCAATATTAAAAGATTTGTATCTCTATCCAGATAGAATCTCATTATAGCATAAATAAATTTAATTCAATGTGTACATAAAAAATTAAATACTGTAGATGTACAAGAATATTAATGAAGATATAAGTGTTGAAATAAGATCTCATAAATTCTGTCCAATTCCTATATCTTTTAAAATATTTGTTTTATTCAAAGATGCCATATTATACATTGAAAACATTTATAACAATGTTACACAAATAACAGCTAGGGGGGATGGAAAAATGTTATGTTATTTTTTCCCCTTCAAAAAGTAATATTAAAGCTGGTGCCTAAGACCTGAAAAACTTAAGGCTATGTAAATTTAACAGTAGTTCTAAGGCAATCATTTTTTTCTAACCTAAGACCAAATTGCCTGTATTATTCTTACCATCACAATTCATCAGGCATAAAGTGTTTTCAGCATCTTTTCTAGAATAGAAACAGGTTTCTTTTGAAACTTTTAGTTGACAATGCAAATGAACTCAGTAATTTCTTAATGATAATAGGTTAGGTTCAGAATAAATGCAAATAAAATGCTTCGCTGAGCACAGCCTGATACGACCGCACAGGTCGCACCCTGAACAGTTGGGGCAAATTTGGACACAATATTCAAGCTTGATACTGTCTGAATTTGGACTGTGATCAATTTTTTGACATAATATAGGTTTCTGACACGAAATAAATGTGGTCAAAGATCTTATAAATCCATTGTGCAATACTGTGCAATTGAAGATTTCTTCTTGAAACTTTTCAAAATTCGAAATTTTAAAAATTTTGAAAAAAAAATATGAATCCCTTCAAAAAAATGGGAAAAAAATTCCCCCCCCCCCCCCCCCAACTTTTTGAAACCCCCTTTGGAGCAATAACCCCAAAACTCAATCCCAGCCTTTCCTTTGTAGTATAGAACATTGTAGTACAATTTCAGAGAGATCCATACAAATACACACAAGTTATTGTCTGGGAACTAGGAAAATGCTTGTTTTTGGCCCTTTTTTTGCCTCTAATTCCTACATGTTTGGGGCAATTAACCCCAAACTCAATCCCAGCCTTCCCTTTGTTATATGGAACCTTGTGGTACAATATTAGAGAGATCCATACACTTTCACACAAGTTATTGTCTGAAAACTAGAAAAATGCTTGTTTTTGGCCCCTTTTTGGCCCTTAATTCCTAAACTGTTGGCCCCAGAACCCCTAAAATCAATCCCAACCTTCTACTTGTGGTATTAAACATTGTGGTACAATTTCAGAGCAATCGAAATACTTATACACAAGTTATTATCCTGAAACTAGAAAAATGCTTGTTTTGGGCCCCTTTTTGGGCCCCTAATTCCTAAACGATTGGGACCATCATCCCCAAAATCAATCCCAACCTTCCTTTTGTGGTATTGAACCTTCTTAAAAAATTCCATAGAGATCCATTCACTTAAACTAAATTTATTGTCCGGAAACCAATGTGTCTTCGGACGACGACATCATACCATTATACGATCCCAAAAATTTTTTGCGGTCGTATAAAAAGGTTTCAAACTACATACATTTTTGTTTAAGTAATAAATTAAAGATTGTTTCAATCCTTGAAAATCTATAAAAATATATATGGCATATATTATAATGACTTTAAACTATCCATTTATAAATGAGAAAATGCTAATTAATTAAAATGCATCTGCTCAAATTTGTTAATGGCTTTAATAAAGTAAGCTATAACATATACAAAATATTTGTTCATTCAAAAATAATGTTCTTATTTCAATGTAATGGGAGTATTACTAGTTTAAAAAACATTTTGCTTTCAACAAGGATCACAATTCATCATGCATTTACCATGCAATGAAGACTTTATGTAATGCTCTAAACTTTTATTTCCCAAATTATAAGAGTCACATAAATACCGGTAACTCATATTTTCTTTAATAACATATCTGACCAGTCATATTTAACCTCAATATATTGACGGTTGATATACAATCCCAAACACTCCTGTTTTGAGAGACAGGTAAAAAATAAAAATAAAATAACACAGTACTATAAAAATCATTGACATTCAAAGCATACAATATATACACTGAAATACATACAATAAGATATATTAAAAAAAAATTAAAGCTATAAAGAGAATAACATACGAAAGATTTACCTGATTCATAATTAACTAACAGATTTTTAAGATTAATATGAATAAAAAAGCAAAACAAATTGTAGTAAATGATTATTAAACAATTGCAATGAGATATTCAACATTCTCTTTCAATACATGTACAAAATTAAAAATGTTTGAAGTTACATTATTATATTAGTTCCAGAAAATTCTGTTTTGAAAGTTAGTTTATTTAATTAAATGTTTTTGAAAATGATTCAGGATGACATTAAAATAGACATGTAACCCCTTTGATAATAATATTTATGAAACATCAACTATTAATATTATGTAACCTTGCTTAAATTTTCTTTCTCTTTTTCAGTGTGCATTTAAACTGATTATGACTCATTTGAAAAATTTTGATAAACCACAGTGGATCCCCTTGGTTGATATGGTTTTTGTCAGGTTTTATGGACTTACACATTTTTTTAATTTACCTTTCGAATTTGTTATTTTTGTAAATACATTTTCAATCAAATTTCTTAATTAAATTTAAGTCATTACCATTATTATTTTTTCTGTAGGTAATAGGGTTGGGAGCGAATAAAATTCATTTACAAATTTGAAGTAAAGTCCAGCAGTGAAGTTGTCTAACCCCCTCTCTTATCTTTGTGTAAAGTTTCTTCACTATTTCCTATATCCAGGACAATTTAGTGCTTGACATAATGTATAGAAGTTGGTCTATTCTTCTAAACTGTATGTTGACTGCTACAGTCTACATGTCTTTTTTGTGACATTGGATTTCTGTAGCCAATGTAGCTGTACCTTTAATCTCCTTTTCTTCATCTTTAGGGAAAAATTGTGTTTACATATAAAATAACAAATTCATAAAATATGTATATTAGTTCTAAAGTTTATGTGTGATTTGGCAAGCTCAAATATGAAAACAACAGAAGCAATTACACAACATGTGGACAACTTTCAAAGATGATCTAACAATTCACAAGTATCTATCTCTAACAAACATATCCATTTCACATTAACAATAAATAAACAACATTTTTTTCTTTGGCTCTAATTATTTATCCATTTACTGTTTCTTGTCCCCAGCAACAGCAGCTCTATCTGCCACATCCACAGCGGCCACATTCTGACATGCCACCACTAACTGAAGGATGCTGATACCAGTCTTGATGAGGGCTAGTGGAGCAGACAGGTATAGGATTATGCTGAATAAATCTAGAATAGAAACAAATTCAGGTTAAATTTTAATATATCTTAAATCAACAAATACTTCAAATGAACTAAAAGACTTTAATATTCCAATGTAAAATAAGCAAAATCAAATAAAAAGCTAGTTTAAGCTTTGGTTGCACATTTAAAAATGTTTTTAGGTAAAATTGATTTAACAAAATATGTCCAGTATTTTTTATCTACATTCAGCTTTTAATAAAACAAATAAATAATAACAGATATTATATACAAGAGATATTATGAATGATAACTGACCATTTAGGATATGCAACATTACACCACATTAAATTTGAATTTTCCACCGCCATATCTTTATTCCAGCCTTAAAACTGCAGATTATATGAAACATGTACCGGTAAAATGCCTTAACAGGTCCTGAAATTAATTCTCTTTCAATGTTTTTCCCATTCATTATCATTTCAACTGGTCATTTCTTTCAAAGTGCCATTCATATCACACATTTAATAAAATACATATGGAATTATCAATGCTTTTTATTTATAAATAATTTATATATGAGAAGGTTGTATGGTTTCATGGTTATTTTAGCTGTTCTTTCTGAATAAATATATAGAGTAACATACTAATAAATGTTCGGGTTCTGTAATTTTAGGATCCCATGGAACAAAAGAATTTTGAACACTACGCATGTATGAATGAACAGAATGACTTTTACAATATTAAAGGTATTGTAACAGAAATAAAGCTTTCATTCTTTTTCAATTTGTTGAATAGTCAACTGTAATTGAGGCATGCAAGATAAATTTTCTGATTCTCAGAGACTGACCTCTAAAAAAGTGATGAGGGAAAGTATTTTATTTTATATTTATTTATTTGGAATGACACTGTATGAAACAAAAGATTTGTTGATGCATGTTTTAACCACAAATGTCATAGAACCCCCACCCCTAAAAAAAGGCAAATATATTTTCTTATCATATCTACACTTTGCTCTCAACTGTTTTACCTTATTAAGCTTTTAAAACTTTTGACATTGAGCATACTGGATGGTTATTCCAGAAACATGTGAGCATATGCACAAAGATCAAATCATACACATAGATTTGTTCCATAAAAACATACATGTGGCCCAGAAAAGACACTTTAAAATCTTCACTATGGATGGGTATCTAGTAAATTTGCCTCCATAGATGGTTACCCCCATTTTGAAAGTGCCTTCCTTGGGTACCATGTTTGTTTAAATGGAACAGCCCTTTTTTGTAAGCACTAAAATTTTAACTACTTTAAATATTGTGTCAAGGTGTGATGTCTCAGCCTTGCCAACTTGCACATTTACACTGAGGTTCACTTGTTTCAAGGGTTTTTATACTTATATTTATAGTATTTCTGTACATTCAGGCCTTTGAAGTCCTATAACAGAATTACTTTAATCAGATTGCTGTGGTTGTATAACCTCTTATTTAAATGATGAACCCGGTAAAGAAACCTAGGATCACAAACCAAATTTTCTGCCATAAAACGAAAACTGCACCATAGAATTTTGAGATAAAAAATGAGAAGATAGCTCTAATTTTATGCTTTCAGATAAGAAAAAGAAAAAATGGGGTCACAGGACCCGTTTTCTTGCTACATAATAAAATAGGTAAATTCCTAACACATTCTATTGTAAAAGTAACTTTATCTGAATTATCTGCCCTTACATTTGAGTTGCCTCCCCTTATGTGACAAAGTTGGAAAAAATTGAATCAAACAAAAGTATTCTGTTTTTTGTAAAATACAACCATAAATATGATAAAACATGTCATTTTCTATATTGAAATGAAAATTCTTACACATGAATTACCGACTACTCTCAAAATTTGTTCATTTTATTAAATATCTAGACCGATTGTTTTCTGGTATTTCAAAATCGAAGATGGAGGAAGACACCCTATCTACCTTTACTGCCGAAAATATTTAACAACACAGATTTTTTTTTTAATTTCTATATTTTTGATAATAAATACAAACTAGCAGATTTTTGGTTAAAGAGGCATGAGGCTGTAGGTTAGAGCCTAAAAATTAAATTCACAATGACTGAGGTGCTTCATTTTCAAAACAATATTCATATACATATGCATTGAATAAGCAATCTTAGAGATTGTTCTTTTACAAAAAACATATAAGATACAATGTCATCCTAAATACTTACTGAAAGGTCCAGAAGTAAAGTAGGTTAAGTATAACATACAATAAAACAACTCATTAGCTGCACACATCACAAATAGGATTTTCTGAAAAATGGTAAGCAAAATGTTAATACTTTTACATGTCTTCTTTAAAAGATTCATACATTTTTGTGTGCACCAACCAGTGAAATAATGTCTTTCCTTTTAAGCCAGTTTAAAACAAATCTAAATTGAATAAACAATCTTTTTACAATGCTTGGTATTTAAAGGCTAAACATATTTAACAAGAGGCTGCAAATTGCTATTAAAGAGCCAACTGCTATATTCACTAACACACCACTTGTAACTATTACTAATCCTTGGGGTTGTGATTGATTCTAGTCACAGAGCTAATTTGGTAGACCATTTGTTCTGTTATCCCCTAACCATTGCAAAAGATGCTTTGCAATAAGAAAACAGGGCATAAATATTTAAGGAATGACTGTAATATTTTTTACTGTCTATGAAGAAATAAAATAAAAAATGTGGTGCACCACATTTTTTGAGGATATTTTGAATAGACAGAAAAAATATTACAGTATTTCCTTATAATTTAATTCTAAACTCCAATTTTCAGGAGTAAATCATGAAAAAACGTTGATGACATCACGGTCACATGACAAAATTATGTCAATGAGCTGATAGACAAAAAACTTTCAGCCAATCAGAAGACATGTTACATTCAAAATTAAATTATTAAACAATCCTTTTTACCTTTTAACAGTACTAATGTCATTATGTACACACTATATTATGCCATATCTTAATGTTTTTGCTATTTGAAGAATTTGGTGTTGATGGCAGATTTTTGATAGTTTCTGTTTAATTTTTTCACATCTATTTTAAGATTCTGGATGATTAATTAAGAGGTTGACATATTGTCTAGATGTCTTATTTGTGTCATTGGGTTGCTGCCTTACTGATGTATACCCACATCTTTATGCATGATAGCCTCTGAGGTCTTGTGGCAGCAAGCTTGCCTTGAGTGTAGGTATGATCCCTGGCTGGTTCAAACCAAAGACTTGAAAATTGTTATTCACTGCTTCTTCACTAAGCACACAGCATTTGGGAGTAAGAACATAAGACTGGTCAGCTTGGAGTTAGAATAATGTGTCCTGGTTGATTGACATATCTTTCTCATCCGTTTTACAATATTAGTCTAGATAGAATATCACTGAATTTGAGACAGGCACAAAAATGATCTATATACCTTAATATAACACAAGGTACCCAACTCACATTTTTGACAAATGACACTCTGTTGCGAACTTCTGTTATATTTTGATTCCACAGTTGTCTAGACAACTGAAACATGTTATGTTTCCTATTTCTGTTGGTGGAATCATTCATAGCAGGCCTTCGAAGTAGGTCTACCTTAAATTATTTCCACTTCTCATCTGACAACAGAAATAGGTGTCTTATACACCATTTTGTAGATAATTTAATGCAGATTTATGTAATAACAAGTTTCAGTTGAATAGACAACCGTGGAATCGTAATATAACAGAAGTTCGCAACTAAGTGTCATTTTAAGGTATAATGGGGTTGTTTTTTCAGAGACAAGTGCCTGTGGAATTGGACCATAAAGATTGTTTCATATGATTAAGTAAAAGTTTGGAGGTTTACGTGTTGTTTTTGGATAGACATTTATCCTTAACATGAGTACACTATTCCATTCATAAAAGTGACATGAGAAGTAAAGTTGTTTGAGCTTGATGTCAGTATCTATGAGCATTTTTTGATGCAGGAATATCCAGTATTTATTTGTATAACTTGTAGCTGGACTTATTTTCTTTGTACGCTTTAGAGGAATCAGCCTGTGGCAATTAAATTTTGTCTCCACTTACCCTGTTATGATAATAATGTCTCAGTACAGGATTAGCACCTAAATCTATTGTCTTGTGGCTTGTAGCACCTTTCATCAGTGAACTGTAATATGCATTAAAATAAATCATATATTTAGTGAAATTACATTGTTTGCAGTCTTCGTCATGCATTCTATATATTTTTAAGACAAATGACCAACACAGATAATTTTTTTTCGATCTCTGCGAAATCACGAGTCACAGATTTTTGTTTAAAATTATTCAAATTAATGTCAATTCAAGAACACTATTCGAACATTCTAAATCTTCTTAAGTCTCCTTAAGTTGCCTCGTAATAAGTCGCTAAAATATGATTTCCGGTAAGTAAAATATCAAAAATATTTGTCAAATCCGCGACTACATATGTTATTTTAGGCATATAAACTCATATGTATTTTAATTATTTTGAAAACAAAATGAACATTTTGTCTTATGAATAGCCATGATGAAAAAAGATAGTTTTTTTCATTATTCATTATTCAATCATGCATTATTTGTGTATTGGATTGCTTAATTGCCTTCTCTCTAGTGTTATCTCTGTTTTGTTAACTGACAAATGACGAAATAATGCAGTATTTAAAATTTCTTATTTTACAAAACTTTGTCCTGATTAAAAACTTTAAACCGACTGAATAAATTAAAATATGAGAATTCAGTGATTATTGATGTCGAAATTAGCCCTTGGTAATAAACAGTCAGTTTGGGTATAAATATGTTTATTCCCAAGAAATAACTTACAAATTTGTTTATTATGTATGTACAAAGTATATGTATATTGTATAATCAGCCCTTCTGTATATTACTTGTTTTTTTAATTGATTCAACAAATTTCGCTTGTCCAGGTGTCAATAACGGTGATGTCCACACCATGAGATGTTTGATATAAATGACACAATACCACAGCGATCACCGATTGATAATATAAGACAAATCTGGGTGCAGTGTGCAAAGTGTCGTCCCTCCTCTAGCATTGTTACATCATCACGACATTAGAATAGCAAATTGATTTAAATAACACAAACTTTTTCTGAATTACACTCCTAAAAGATAAATTAGGTAAAGATGCAAAATTAATTTGAGGACTGTCCTAAAACGAGGTAAAATAACTCTTCTGTGTTGTATATCAGTTATCACCCTAATTCTTTTTTGGACAAGTGATTTCCAGATAATATATTCCACAGTTGTAACAAAAACAAGGAAAATCAAGAATTATACCAAAATATACAAATTTCATTATGTTTGTTACTATGGTTACTTGTCAAATGTGATTTTTTTTAATTTATGAGCAACTCATTAAATAATTTTTATAATATATTCATGGACAAACTGATAAAAGACGGTGGTTGCAAAGTGGTGACCTCAGACAAGGTTAGCTGAAAGGAGCTACCTACAGTGCAGACATGGTCAGATTAATTTTATGTGTTTGAATAAAATCAAATGGCCATAAACAAGATATTTCAACTTTTTTCTTTGTCAATTTCTACTGTTATCAACAATATGCATTTATAATCTACTTTAACATACTTATCATGTTTTTATGTTGTAACAGCCCATTTTCTTATTTAGTTTAATGTCTACTGGATTTTTTTTTTCTGATCAGTGATTTTGCAAGCGCTTGTCATTTTTGCCATTTACGAAACGATTTTCGAAATGATGAAAGTATTTCTGATCAATTTCGTCACTTAAATTTGTAAAAGAAAAAATAAATTGTGCAAATTTTTACCTTGTGACAAGTTTATGATAAATTTATGACCCCAAGCTAGTCAAGGGATACAACAGGTGTCATAATTTGTTGTGACAGGTAATCTGCTTATCCGATGGGTCATTAATGATCATCAAAATTAATTCATACAAATAGAATCGATTAATCAGCATTTTGTCATTTCGTATGAAATTTTTCAAACCACGTTTACCTTAGTTTCATGATGAAAATGTAATTGACAGAAAGACGAAAACCTTATAAAACTTATTTAAAAAACATTGTTTTTCTTAAATTCTGTTTAAAATGTTAAATTCAGACATATTTTGCCTTTGCCTGCCCTCATTTTTTATATAAAATAATAAATTGGCAGCCATTAATTGTAGGTCCTTCTTCTGTGTATAATCCTCTAAAGGTTACAAGGAAGTAATTATTTACATAGGCGACAATGGTAGCCTTTTTTGGTCCTGCGTTTTCACTATCAAAGATCCATAGAAAAAAATGTCGAATTCTGAATTATCAACACCTTTGGGTGTAATTGAAACTGCAAAACACATATGGTGCCGCAGCTTTTTTGATAGAAAAATTGCATTTTTTAAGGGTACTCAACGGTTCCGGAATTTTCGAAATAGTATAAACGAAGAACACCCCTTGCTAAATTTGGCACAGAAAATGTTGCTCGTCACAGAGAGTTTTCTCTAAATTTCTCGCTATTTCTACACCAATGGCCAACACTCATTTCTCACTATTTCAATTTTGATTTCTAATTACAAGGGCAGCAGAAAATAAATTTACTTCTACCTATTATCTTGGATGTAAAATCTAGGTGGCGCCAGTCATCTTTATTTACTTCCTTTTAACCTATACTGACATATATTGAAATAAAATCGGACAATCTTTACATTAGTCGATTACTATATACTCCTGCTGCTAAAGTTCAAATTTTTGGATTAAAGGTACAATTTTTCACCTTTAAAAATGACTTTCTTTACAGGTACCCCCCTTTGCAGAAAACGTTGCTTTTTACAGACTTGGGGCCATTGGCCAGCTTATTTTGACTGTTTTGCTATGTTTAAAACGAGGTGTTTGATTAATGAAGTTCGATTTAGGCCTATTAAAGACTTTAGGCTGATGATTTGATAACTGTGTCCAACTTATATGTCTTTATCCCGAATATATGAACACCGTTGCATAAGAGTCAAAATATTTTATGAAATAGACTATAAAAGTGCTGAAACTAAGAATTTATCATTGCTGTTATGTGTTTTATATGAATCGTGTGCAGAATATTCAATTCGACGATACTAAGGAGAAACATGTATTGCCTTTGATTTTTTACCTAATTTTAATATTTTAGGGGCATTTTGGCACATTTTTGCCATTAAAAATACAAAAATTTCGCTAACGTCAGAAAAAATAGGCCCCCCTTTTTTTAAATATGCATAAATACATGCAGTGTTATCGAGGATGAGGAGAAATGATTAAAGACAGAGTCATTGACAGAAGTCTCGTTCTTACAGTAGGTTAATGAACCCTACCCCTTAGGCAGAAGAATAAAAAAACAGTAAAAATTTGATATAGACTATAGTTTCTTGGCGATCAGCAATTTTCTTCTGATACAGTTTATCACTTAGTACCTTATTAATTTACCGATCCAATTTCTAAAATATCTCGAAAAATACAGTGATGCGCCAGAAATCGTTATTTCGCTTTAGGTTACAAGGAAGTAATTATTTACATAGGCGACAATGGTAGCCTTTTTTGGTCCTGCGTTTTCACTATCAAAGATCCATAGAAAAAAATGTCGAATTCTGAATTATCAACACCTTTGGGTGTAATTGAAACTACAAAACACATATGGTGCCGCAGCTTTTTTGATAGAAAAATTGCATTTTTTAAGGGTAATCAACGGTTCCGGAATTTTCGAAATAGTATAAACGAAGAACACCCCTTGCTAAATTTGGCACAGAAAATGTTGCTCGTCACAGAGAGTTTTCTCTAAATTTCTCGCTATTTCTACACCAATGGCGAACACTCATTTCTCACTATTTCAATTTTGATTTCTAATTACAAGGGCAGCAGAAAATAAATTTACTTCTACCTATTATCTTGGATGTAAAATCTAGGTGGCGCCAGTCATCTTTATTTACTTCCTTTTAACCTAAAGAAGTATGAGCACACATGAATACAAGAAAGATAACTCAATTATATATTTTTTTCTTGTATTGAAATACTTACTCATAATCTGTATACATACTTCTGGCTTTAGGATTTACAGGGTTAGGGAGTCTTTTGAGTTATGGTGCAAATTAGTTGGTTGGGGAGGGAGTCTTGGGTCATCATTATCTATATTCTTTTATTTTTTTATTCAAATTTTCTCTATTCTGAATATTAAAGCACCCATTATTCTCTCTTCTTCATTTTTTTTACCATTTTTCTCTATTCTTTATTTCTAATATTAATTTTTTTTCTCTATTTGAAGCATATACAGACCATAAGCAAATAATAAGGATAGGAACATTGACCAATAGATTCAGTATATTAGTCCCTGTTTTGAGACATAAAAATCAAAACAAACACATACGGTACAATATGTATCTTTTGAAGAAAAACAACTGTTTTGTTTTTATCTTAAGTGCCTGTCTCAGACAAATCCATGCAAAGTCATCCAGAACCAAGGATACAATATCATCTTCATATTCTGTTACAAGGAAGATTTAGTCATGTAATGAATTCAGAAAAATAAATTTTCCAAAAAGTTCAAGGATTTGCCTTATAAAGGGCTGTTACTAAAAATAGAATTTCTATCAAGATAAAAGGTTAAAAACATGCTATTTTTGATAAAACAGGCCTTTGATATCCATAACTGAATAGTTTGTAGGCATTCTAGTATGGTTTCATAAAGAATATGAACCAATGTGATACTAGTGATTATGATATACTGGCATAGTTGACCTTTCAAATTTCCTCTTAACATGCTTAAGCGCAGAAAGGTCACCAAAAGGTCAAATTTCAAATTTTGAAAATTTTTGCTTCAAAGTCTTTCCAGGAATAGTGAGGATATTTATTTCTTATAATTTTGGTCTCTTTACCATTGCTATAGGTTAATTAACAAAATATAAAAAAATTGTCATCAGAAAATGAATTTGTCTACATGAATTTTATTCATCTTTCAGTCATAGTTATGGATTTTGGCGATTTTTATAAATTTTTCACTTGGTCACAGCATAATAATTTTTATATTTCAATTTGTACATGTGAACTAATGAAATACTGAAAAAGAAAAAACTCATGTTTTTGTTCATGTATTTAACCATATGCAGTATAACTACTTTAGTACTACTAGTATCATGTTAAGCTACTACCAAGGAAAGGTCGATTTTCTTATGGCGCAAAAGTGACCAAAGCCCTCAAAATCCTAGCTTTAACCCTGTTTCTGAGGATTTATACTGTATTTCAGATGCTTCTAACCTTTGGACATGGAACCAGTGACTGGTTATATCTATAGACATGGAGATCTGAAAGAACATCATGTAATCTGGATAGAAATGGCATAACGCTGCTAACAAACACATGGTGGCACATCTGTCTATCAGCATGTCTAGGAGTGCACCTAACTTGCTTCCTACAATGCAGACATAACATAGATACATACATGAATTCTTTTTTTTATTGATCCCTGGTATACATGGTATACATTTATAAATAAAGTTAATTACAACTATAGTTTTGAAAAAAAATTAAGTTGTAAATTAAAATAAAATGCTTCGCTGGGCGCAGCTTGATACGACCGCAGAGGTCGAACCCTGAACAGTTGGGGCAAGTATGGACACAACATTCAAGCTTGATACAGCTCTGAATTTGGATTGTGATTAAATATTTGACACAGCATAGGTTTCTGACACAGAAAGCATGTGGTCTAAGAACTTCAATTTTTTTAATTTACCTATTATGGTCCAATGTCCAAAATAAAAATACATGGTTAGATTCAGCATATCAAAGAACCCCATATATTCAATTTTTGTTGAAATCAAACAAAGTTTAATTTTGGACCCCAACTTGGACAATCTTGAAAACTGGTCCCATAATCAAAAATCTAAACACATGTTTAGATTCAGCATATCAAAGTACCCCAAGAATTCAATTTTTGTTAAAATCAAACTAAGTTTAATTTTGGACCCTTTGGACCTTTATGTAGACCAATTTAAAAAACGGGACCCAAAATTAAAAATCTAAAAACACGGTTAGATTTGGCATATCAAAGAACCCCAATGATTCAATTTTTGATGAAATCAAACAAAGTTTAATTTTGGACCCTTTTGACCTCAATATGAACCAATTTGATAGCGGGCCCACAAATAAAAAATCTAAATACATGGTAAGATTCAGCATATCAAAGAACCCCATATATTCAATTTTTGTTGAAATCAAACAAAGTTTAATATTGGACCCCAATTTGTACCAACTTGAAAACTGGGCCAAAAATCTAAAATCTAAATACATGTTTAGATTCAGCATATCAAAGAACCCCATATATTCAATTTTTGTTGAAATCAAACAAAGTTTAATTTTGGACCCCAACTTGGACCAGCTTAAAAACTGGGCCCATAATAAAAAATCTAAACATATGTTTAGATTCAGCATATCAAAGAACCCTAAGAATTCAATTTTTGTTAAAATCAAACTAAGTTTAATTTTGGACCCTTTGGACCTTAATGTAGACCAATTTAAAAAACGGGACCCAAAATTAAAAATCTAAATACACGGTTAGATTTGGCATATCAAAGAACCCCAATAATTCAATTTTTGATGAAATCAAACAAAGTTTAATTTTGGACCCTTTTGACCTCAATATGAACCAATTTGATAGCGGGGTCCACAAATAAAAAATCTAAATACATGGTTAGATTCAGCATATCAAAGAACCCCATATATTCAATTTTTGTTGAAATCAAAACAAAGTTTAATTTTGGACCCCAATTTGGACCAATTTGAAAACTGGGCAAAAAATCAAAAATCTAAATACATGTTTAGATTCAGCATATCAAAGAACCCCATATATTCAATTTTTTGTTAAAATCAAACAAAGTTTAATTTCGGACCCTTTGGACCTTAATGTAGACCAATTTGAAAACTGGACCCAAAATTAAAAATCTAAATACACGGTTAGATTCAACATAACAAATAAATAAATGTGGTCAAAGATTTTACAAATCTAATGCGCCATACTGTGCAATTTAAGATTACTTCTTGAAATTTTTCAATATTTGAAATTTGAAAAAAAAAAAATATTTGAAGAATAATTCTTTTTAATTTCTGAAATCTGAAATGAGAAAAAATTGACCCCCCACAATTTCTTTTTACCCCCCCCCCCCCTTTTTTCCCCCCAAAAAAATTCTTTCCCTCAAAATATGGTCATAATCTCAATTCAAATTTCCAATGGAGTTTGCAACCATAATTACCCATTTAAATTTACCATAGTGCTAACTTAATCTATTTCATAATAGAATTTAAAATATAGTGTCAAATCTTTCATATGTTTTTTTTTGTAAAAAAAAAAGATGCAACATTTGCAGATATTTTTACTGGTCTTTCTTTATAAATATGCATTTCTTTAAACATAATTTAAAAGCAGTGTAAGGGAAGTAACCAAAACGTTGTATTTGGATTACCTCCCTTACACTGTTTTAAATTATCTTAATTGTTCATTAACCATTACTTTATACATAATTTAAAAGCAGTGTAAGGGAGATAATTTCATTGATGTATTTGATTTATCTCCCTTACACTGCTTTAAATTATGTTCTGTACTAAAGTATTTGTCCATTAACCAGGACAACCTTGTTTTTACCCCTTTTTTGCCCCTAATTCCAAAACGGTTTGAGCAATAACCCCCCAAAGCAAATCCTAACCATCCCTTTGTGGTATGGAAACTTGTAGTATAATTTCAGAGAGATCCATACACCGTTCCACAGTTAATGTCTGGAAACTAGAAAATGCTTATTTTTGGCCCCTTTTTGACCCCTAATTCCTTAACTGTTGGTACCATAACCCCCAAAATCAATCCCCACCTTCCTTTTGTGGTATTGAACCTTATGGTAAAATTTCATAGAGATCCATTCACTTAAACTAAAGTTAGAGTGCGAAAACTAATGCGTCTTCGGACGACGAAGCCGACGACGCCAACGTCATACCAATATACGACCACAAAAATTTTTTTGCGGTCGTATAAAAAATCATATATATAGAAATGATTTTTATTTTGAACAATATTTGTAAGTTTAAACACCCTTTGCAATACTATTATGTGTGTGCAAAAATGTATCTCTCTTTATTTTATGACAAAAATAATTGAAATTTATAATCAATTACATTCTATCAAAATTATACATGTTTATGATGTTATACTGATTATGAAGTATTTTCCAAACTTCTCATATAATCTCAAAATTTATGCTGAGAAAAACAGTCAGTTTAGTAGAAATATAAGGGTGGAGAAGCAAAACCCATAAATAATATGTGGTGATCACTGTGCCTAAGACTATATTTTACTGGCATGACTGATACTAGAATTTTAAGATGAAGTTTTATAAATCTGAGTACACTGTACCTTGATCTAACATTCTTGCTGCATGACCATCAATGGCATCTAAAAGTCCACTTAACAGATACCAGAAAGTAGTCAATATATAATCTGTTCTCATATAATAAAATGACAGCAAAGCTGTTATCACTCGGAAATAATCTGAAATACAGTAATAATGCATAGTATTAATTTGTAATCAAAGCAGACCTTTATTGGGATAGTTGTTGTTTCTATACAACTTATTTTCCTATTCAGGCAGCCCAAAAATGAGATTGAAATATTTTCTGTCTAGTAAGACAATGTCTAGCAAAGTCTTCCCCCTAAATAAATTCTTGCATAAATTGCCTTTTTCTGAGGTCAGCCTCCAGACCAGAGAAAACTGACTTTATAAGAGAGGTTGCCTTTGAGTTGGGGTTCAAAATGCACAGTTATTACAACAGCAGGACAAGAAAGACAGTTACCTGATGAGACTAGGTTTCCCATAATAGATGGATGGATGGGTGTTCAAAATGAAATTCTCATAAAAAAACGTTAGGGTCGTTGCTCAAAATTATGCTCAGTTAGGTCAATAGGAAACTCTAAATCACAAGCACTTTTTCAGCTCACCTGGCCCTATGGGCCAAGTGAGCTTTTCTCATCACTTGCCGTCCATTGTCCGTCGTCGTCCGTTAACTTTCACAAAAATCTTCTCCTCTGAAACTACTGGGTCAATTTTAACCAAACTTGGCCACAATCATCATTAGGGAATCTAGTTTAAAAAATAAATAGGGAATGTGTCCATGGGACACAGATGATGCCCCCTCTTGCATATCATATAAAGTTATTAAGGGACATAACTGAAGAACCGTAAAAGTGACGCTACCCAAATTTGTACTTGATCTGAGTGTTGTGGTAATAAGTATTGTGTATAAGTTTCTTAATATTTAGTTGAGGCAAACTTGTTATAGAACGGAAACGAAAAAAATCTGCAATTTTTTCGATTTGTAAAGGGGCATAACTGTAGAACAGTAAAAGTGACACCACCAAAATTCAAACTTGAACTGTATTTTGTGGTAATAAGCATTGTGTATAAGTTTCATAACATTTGGTAGAGGCAAACTAAAGTTAGAGAATGGGAACTAAAATTCAGCAATTTTTCCATTTGTAAACGGGCATAACTCTAGAACGTTTAAAGTGACACCACCAAAATTCAAACTTGATCTGTATTTTGTGGTTATAAGCATTGTGTATAAGTTTCATAAAATTTGGATGAGGCAAACTAAAGTAAGAGAAAGGAAACGAAAAAAATCAGCAATTTTTCCATTTGTAAAGGGGCATAACTCTAGAACGGTTAAAGTGACGCCACCAAAATTCAAACTTGATCTGTGTTTTGTGGTAATAAGCATTGTGTATAAGTTTCATAACATTTGGTTGAGGCAAACTAAAGTTAGAGAACAGAAACTCACTTTGGGACGTACATACAGGGTAAAACTTAATGCCCCGTCCGCTACGACGGGGGCATAATAAAAATGTGTCCGATGACCCCACCTCCCAATCAAGAGGGCAGATTATTTTTTGAACCATTATAAATAGAGAAAATCTGAAAGGAGCAAAAATGTTCAGAATAATGAGCTCTACCAAATCGGCAATTGTCCATATACGTCAAAACTGTTCGACAAATTCTTATAGGAGTTATTGCCCATAAATGACAAATTTTACCATTTTTTTTCATTTTTGCCTATTATCATGAAAACTATGATATTTAGAGAGACAAATTTTTTTCTGTTATGCCTTATATGATTTAAATTATAATAGATAAATAAACACTTTAAATCACAAAAATGATCAGCAAGACAAGATCTATTAAAAAGTCAAATTTTGCCGATATAGTTAGTAGACTGTCACTCTTCATAGGAGTGATTGCCCTTAAATGAGGATTTTTTTTACCCTCTTTTGTGTTTTGAGCAAAAACTAAAGAAGATAGAGAAACAAAACAGACTAAAAGATCAGTAATACAAGTTCAACAAAATAGAGAGTTTTGTCATGGTCTATTCTCGTCTACAATGTTGGAGAGCGCCCTTTGTTTGATATGCACATAGACCAAGGTGAGCGACACAGGCTCTTTAATTTAGAGCCTCTAGTTTTCTTGTGTTGAAACAACATAAATATATGGTACATTTGTAATTTTGTTTTATCATTTATGAGAATGTTTTCATGAACTTATAAACAATTGCCTCAATGCAGAGAATATGCCAAACAGTGAATAGTTCCATTTTCCATTTGCCAGTGTTTGCAACATACATGTGCAAGTGTGATAATTTTTGGCTCCTAGATTTCCCATTTTTTTATAAATAAGATTCAAACTTATATTTTATGAATTAAGTGCCAGTCTGCCTAAGGATCAGGCAGTGACCAAAACATGATAGTCTCAGATTTTGATGAAAACTTGCACAAATCATCTGAATAACAAGTTATAAAGAAAAAAATACTTTTCAGACCAATTACATATGGTTGCTATGGAAACAGAGCCATTTCATTTTTCCAAAGAACGAATTATTGAGATTAGCATAAAACTGACAGTTTTTCACTATTTCAGTCTCATGAAAACTGCTGTTCATATAAAATGTAGTATTTCTCCATTTTACAGCAACTTTTTCAACTATCAAATATTCTTGAAGAACAGCTGTTTTGATGAAATTCTATTTCATTCTTGAAATTTTGGGGTACGGATGGTCTCCATGGACCATAATGTCCAAAAAAGCCAAAAAAGGCCAGAAATCAAGTTCAAATATTTTCTATTACCAGAACAGCATATACATGGTGTTACTTAATATGGAACAAGTAGTGGTCATACTTTCATTATTTCATAAAAGCTCGGTGGGTTTTTTCCAAATAGTGAGTAACCATGGCAACAAAGTTAACCCTATAGCAACAAAGCTAAAAAAACAAATTGTAACAAATGTATTCAATATTAAAGACTAAATACATATAAATGGACTAAATATGATTTATTTAAGCTAGTCTCATTCCAGTGTTGTCAATTTTTCCAGTTTTTTCCTGGAAAAAATTACATAGCAACCGAAAATTGTCCTTAGCAACCAAAATGAACAAACTTAAATTTTTTGTTGTTTTTTTATACAAAAATATTCTCCAGTGCAAAAAGCGACAATTAAGTGGTCAGATATCAATCATTTCGATATAAAATCAGTAAATTAAACAATATCTACATTTCATTAGCAACAACTTAAACCCCCTAGTAACAACATAGATTCTTTCAAAAGTTTCACATTTTTGGTGTGAGCTTACTTCTTATACCAGATTCATATTGGTTTGAGACATATCATTATAGTTACTGACACTATCATGCTTTAGAATTTGTATTACAACCTGGTGGTTTTTTTAAACAAGGGATATGCATAACAACCAATAAATACTCCTTAGCAACAGTAAAGTATGCATATTCCACATTAGTATTCTTTCTATCAAAATTATAGGCTATTATTCAAATTATACATTTTTTTATGTTAAATGCTTCAATATTGAATTGCTATTAATAATTGAAAACTAACCGGAACTACAAAACTTCAACGTTGACCTTTGAATCATGAAAATGAGGTAAAGGTCAGATAACACCAAATTCATAGACATATACACCTTGCAATCGATCTATTCACCAACCTATTGCTTACAGCACTCGAACAACTGACCAAAACATTTTTTTTTTTCACTAATGAACCCTGAAAAGGAGGTCAATGTCATATGAAACCTGCCAGACTGACATGTACTTATAATTATTCCATAAACCAAATAAAGTTATTTATTGCATAAAGTACTTGTTAGAAGGACCAAAAACACAAAAACTTATCATTGATCACTAATAAACCATGAAAATGGGGACAAGGTCAGATGGAACATGTCAGATCTAGACAGACATCTATCCCTTACAATCATTCCATACACCACACATAGTTGACCTACTGCTTATATAAGAGAAATGAACCTATTCATGCATGTAACTTTCACCTTGATCACTGATCCATGAAATGAGGTGGAGGTCAGTTGAACCCTGTCTGACTGCCATGGAGACGTAGCAAGTAACCCATATACCAAATATAGATATCCTAATATTATTCATAATAAGTGAGAAATTCGCATGACCAAAAAACTAAAAAAAAATTTGAGCAGTCACTGAACCATGAAAATGAGGACCAGGATTTTGGACATATGACAGACGGAAACTTTGAAACATAAGGTATCTGCTAACAAGCTCTTCTTATTTTTATTACGAATCCAGGTCTTCTACGGTTCTACCCTCTAAAATATAATATTTGGCCCTACCACCGTCGTATAGTAATGCCTTTGTCTTGCATACTGTGACACTGCGAGACGAAATGTAAGTCATAAAAACATGCAACATTTTTCAAAAAGAAAACAGTAAAATGCACAAATTATTGCATTCATTTATTATAATATTTTTAAAAGTAACTGACCAAATTAGAGATTTATTTATGTTAATTCAGGAAAAGCTCTTCCAAATTCTGATTTCAGAATGCAAGTTCTTATCATTGAGATACTCAACCAATCTCAACATTCAAATGCTTTTAAAAACTTCTGTCACATACATGTAATTCCTGAATTTACAGTTTTCAGATTGTTCAGAGTCTTCTTATATTTATCATGTCTTATTATTTCATCTGTCATTCAGGTTTTGTATATCTGTTCTTTAGGTTCAAACATGGCTATAAAATTTCCCAACAAATAGAGGCTAAGTTGTCATCCTTCACTTCAGAAATGTTGGTCAATTTGAAGGCACGTTATTTACTTATGTCCATTTGCTACAATCATTTTGATCTTCCTACTCAAGAGCACAATATTGGCATCACAATATGTTGAGCCTCATTGAACTGTAGTTGAATCTTTTAATCATCAATCCTGCAATCATATGAAATTTCAGTAAAAATCAAAATAAATATAATAGCAATTCATTTACAGTTCATGTTGTTAATTTCAAGTTCAATGAATCACTATGGTTGAATGAAATGTAAATGATTGAAGTTTAAAAAATGAACACTAAGGAAACGACCATTAATTTTAGTACATGTATGTGAACAAGCGGACCAATATATAAATTTATGTGCAAGTCCCAGGTGGAACATTGTTTTTTGTTTTGTTTTTTTGCTTACCAGTGATTTTGCAATCACTTGTCATTTTTCGCTTTAGAAATATCAAAAGTATTTCACTAAAATATAGTAAAAGTTTAAAAAATAAACTTGACATAGTCTATATGTTAATTTGGTAGAAAAATTCAAATGATGAAATCAAATAGTTATACTCTGAAATGTTCAAATATGCCAAATATTCAAAGTGAATGAACCATTACTAAAAATGTCAGTAGAAATATAAGAAATGCCATTAATGCTAAATACAACTGTATACCAAATAAGAGGGTGGTAATGGGGGTACCAGTCCATCATTAAGATTAAGGGTAAGAATTCTTGCCAAAGGGCGCTAACGGTAATTTTTGGTCTATGACGATAAAATGTACACTTTCTTTTTTACCGTAAAGAAATCGACTGATTTTGACGAATCATGTTAACTTTTTCTCCAAAATTAACAGTGATGATAACTTTTTGAGGTCTCTGACGAATCACAATAACTTTAGGATATTATGACAAATCACGGTAAAATTTTAACCAATTTGACGCTTACGGTAGCCTTAAATGACTGTTTGACGCCTGACAATACAGGGCATTCCTACCCTCAAATAAAACTAACTTATCATAAGTGGTTCTTTGTTAACCGATCTACATGAAATCACACACTTTAAAATGTAAACTAGTTGCTAAAATGATAAAATCAATAGACCATGACCAAGGGTCGAAGTAAGAGGACAGGGCCAAATAATTTCCATAGATATAAGATGCATCAAATTGAATGCTTATACAACTTTATATATCAAATATTATTTATTTACCATTAGTAGTCTCACTTAAACTGACCTAATCAAACTTTTTTAAACACCAATATGTTTTTGAGTAGGGAAAGGAAATGCATGATTTTTTTACAAGTAAAAAGACTCTTGATGTTGTTGACAATACATGTGTACGTGATCTCTGCATAATTCTTGTTTAGCATTGTCAATATTTTACCCAAGTAGCTCCAGCAGAAAATGTACATGTAGGTCATATTGACCTAGTTCTTGTTGTGACATATATACATGTATATCTACATGTATATCATAAGATGAATTAACCACTTGCTCAAAACAGAACCAGCAAAAATCATTTTGTAAATCAGCATTTGCATACTGACTGGAAAATCTATGATAAAGAGCTGTCCTGTTGTGGATGGGTATGACAAAAACATCTTGTAGCTGAAGTAATTCTCATCTATTTCTTAAATCACAAAATCGTTTAAAAAAAATATTTCACCGACAAAAATGGGCCCACTAGTGGAGATGGGTTGAAGTAAACATTCTATCACTCAAATTTACTGGTGTACATAAAAAATATCTAAATTCAAATAATTTGTACCTGTGCAATTCAATAGTCTTCTGTAAACAGTTCTTTCAAATATCAAAGGTATGTGTCTTAACAAATCACCTCTGCAATTCAGCAAATCCCTGAAGAAAAAGTTCAAATTTGTTAAGTCTGATAAAAATATATATACATGTACATGAAATTTCTTTGTAGCTCTTACTTCAGACCAAACTTATAAGTTGCAAATAACATTAACTAAGAAAATTATTTCCATAAGTAAAAGTTATGCAGAATATGTTTTAACCCCTGAAAGCTAGCTACATTTATATATAGAGTTTCAAGGGCTCTGGGTTAAAACATTTTAGTACAATGTAGATCAAAAATTGTAAATAAGGTAATGGGCCTAAGGCAGACTAAAAATATGTATGTGTTTAAAGTACTAAAAATACTGACCCTATATTTTATGATTAAAAATGCCTAAAGTACACTGGAAATTTTTTCTTGTCATTTTTTAATAGCACTGATAAAAACAACATATTCCTTACATTAAGCCAATAAGGTACAGTTATATCATCAAAATAGTTCCGTAAATTGTTGAAGGCCTACTGTAAATTCAGAAATTATTGCGATGTTTTAATTATTGCGAAAAATGCGACATGGTTATTATTGCAATAATTTAAACTCTCATTTTGAAATTTTTTTTATATAAATTAAACAGAATTTTTCTCAATATCGCAAAAATTAAAATCGCATTTAAGTCTAAAATGACAAAATCGCAATAATAAATGCACGCAATAATTTCTGAATTTACAGTATTTGAGAAAAAAATAGTTGTTCCTTTGATAACCTTACCTATACATAAACATTTCTGTAAGTTTTTAACGTGCCCTATTTATATATATTGCATCAAATTATTTCCCCTTTTTAAACCAGTCAAAAACTTTTTAAAAAATCATTTTCGTACCTATCTAACCTAATAATTTTCAGTTGTAAGTCTATTTTTTGTAGGTCTAAATGCATCATTATGTATGAAACTTAAACATTTGTTAAAGAAATACATGTGAACCTTCCTTTGGAAGGGCAATAGTACATTTTTCAGGGCCAGGGGTCTCCTTCAGTTTAGAACAAACTCATATTTTTGGCATTATCACCATTTTTTCTAAACATTCTTTATAAAATATGAGAAAAAAAAAGTTTACTTCTTTTCAATCTATAATTATCTAACAGAAAAAAATCTGCCGAAAAACAAAATATGAGTCTGATAATGAGCCCCCCTTTTATATTCATGTTAAACCTAAACCATTTTCAATATTTTACAGTAAAATATATAATGGGGGAGGAGAATGGTGTAGGACCAAAATTATCTTTTGAATATATAATAATATGTAAATAGTGTACCTTGTGTTTAGAACCTAGAAAAAGGCCCTGCTCATCTGGATTGGCACTGCACTGCTCTGCCTGGCTTTGATCCTTCCTTTGTGAGACGGTTGTGCACAACCAACATTCCTTCTCTTAATCTCATGCATATTCCTAGGGTTTGTTGGTGTTTTGGACAAACAAAGTATGAATGTTCATGTAAGTGGGAAAAGATCCCAATATTGTAAAAAGTCAATTCCCTCCGACTTGATTTTTGTCTAATTTTGAATATTTTAATCCTAGGGAAGTGGTTCAACAATTCTATTACATTGTCCAATAACTGTGTTGTCTTTTCATCCTTAGAATACTGTGAATTCCCTCATTCATCGTCAGATAAGATTGAAAAACTACAGTTCAACATTGTCTGCCACATGCAGAGCTCCAGATAAGAATTCACAAATTGGGGTTTTTACCCACCATTTTTTTATGTAATTGGGTGATAAAGTTTTTTAATTGCATTATCAATTCCAATTCACCCCTCAAGCAAATATCAAATTGGGTTTTTCACCACCAAGCTCCTTAATGTATTGGGTTTTTTCATCACCACAATATTGAATATTTAGGCATGTTATAATCACATTATATCAACCCCAGATGTGTTTCCATCTTAAATGTGTTTCTTTCTTTGTAGAATATGTGCTAGCTGTTTTATTTGGTTTATCCACTGACGAGCAATTGTACATTTAATTTGTGTCCCGTTTTAAACATTCTGTCAGTTTTGTATTTTCTCAAAACTTATGTTAACTGCAGCTGGTGTCACTAGTTGGACAGGAACTAATTGCCTTTCTAGATCCCATATGATCACCCTACAGTTTAATTATAGTTGGGGTAGGTGTGTCTAAGTGTTTAGATTTTTTTGTAATATATGTGAAATTTAGGTGCTGTAAGAAAGTTTTGCCAGTCCTTTCACCTATTTGCCAGATCTACTTTTGAATAAAAATAAAAAGTAGTTTCCAGATTTAAGATATACCCCAAAACCTTGAGGTTTATAGGGTGGTTTATAATGACGGAGACCACATTCAACTTAAATTTACAAATAATTCTGCAACATCAAGTAAATAAATGACAATGTTATACTGCACTTGCAAATAAGACAACTATCTTAAGCATCTAGAACAATTAGACCAAAACAAAGAAAGTGTCAAGCTGCATTGACGTAAAAAACGGATATGTGTATTCACTCATCAACTTAAATGAAAAAAATAATATATAAACTGTTTTCGTTTAATTCAATTTACATAATTCTGGGTTAAATTGTCCCTTATCAGAACTTTTGGTTTCCGATGCTTTCAAACTACATATCATGTCATAATTGATTTGGCCTTTCACTTTTTCCAACTGATTTCGTTTTTGACGGAACCCCGTGTTTATCGCTCTAGCAATGTTCTCGTTATGGTACGCAAACACGCCCGTGCGTTCAATGGCCGCTTCCTAAAATCACTAGCTGAGTCTTGTTATCATCATAACTTTCCCTCAGCTATCAAAAAGAAGCCATAAACATGCTTCTATTCAATATTTTTACCGGACATTTCCTTTCGTTTTAATTCATTGTATGTTATAATAAATCCCGAGCAATTCGAAAAAATATGACAGCATGTAACACGCTAATTGGATAAACGCCGAGAAGATCGAAATGTTTTCATAAACACGTGTACCTTTTGAGCAACGGAAAATTCCAACAGGGACCCATTACAGCTACTTGATGCAGGGTTCTATTTTTAGAACGAAAGGACATTTCCAATTATAAATATTATAAAAATAGATTTACGCGACGACTGTAATCAAGTAAGGGTAAATAACGCAAACGATAGCGAATAAAAGCGTTAAGAACCCATGTTTTTGGCATATAATTGGGTTTTCCTTTGAATTAATTGGGTTATTGAACCCTGCAATGGGCAATTGCATTGGGTTTTTAATCATTTTTATTGCGTGATCACGCAAATACGCAGCTTATCTGGAGCTCTGCGACATGCATGACATCAGTATTGTTTACATCAAAAGAGTTCTGCTAGGGGAAGTAACTCTGTAAATTGTGTTCTTTCATGAACAAAGCAACAGAATCTTTGGAATGGAATTTTGACCAGTAGACAAAAAAACCCACCAGACGAAGGCTTAAACCTGAAATTTCTATTTGCTTAGTATTTATATTTGAAATCATTGTGATTGTACGGGTCTGGTAATAAAAAATATTTTGAATTGAAATTGCCTGAATTTACATAGGTAAATAGTAAAACATATAGAACTTCGAAGTGCTAATACATAATACTGTAATTGATTTTCTAAAATTTGATTATACAGTTCTATTTGGATAAACTGAAGGTAACATATTTTGTATATGAGATGAATATTTGAAATATGTCATGTTTTGATTTTTTTAGAATTTGCCTGATTCTTAGACAGACTGGCACTTAAATTTTGAAGAAAATAAGCAGAAATGATATTTTGAATTGCTATTTATAGTATACCGACTTCATCCTCTTAAAAAATCCCAAGTAACACCTGTCTCATACTATATCATATGGGAGAGTCCTCACAACCTAACACCCTTTCAATATCTATCCTTACAGCAGAATCTGTGTTCCTGATTGCCATTCAAAATCATTGTTTTTGCGTACAGTTTTTAACTACCTTGACTGGTTATAAAGCCCTCGCACCGTCTGTACTGAGATTTCAAATCATTAACAACGAATGTTTAAATTTATACAAAATCTGCTGTTAAGGTAGATCAGGTGTCTTTTTCTGAACATCCCTTATCATAAGTTATGGGCATGTTGCATAAATACTTTTTTGGATTATGAATGTTTAACTAAGTATACTAAATTAATATACAACAAAAACATCTTTTACTTGAAATTTGAGGAATAATCTATCAAAAAATTAAATGTCATTCAGTGTATTTCAAATTTTCAGAAAAAAATCCCTTTAAAATCAAGGGGAGATAATTATCTTGAATTTGATAGGACAATTTGTTTTTTTTTTATTTTTCCAGAAAATAAGGCTGGTGACTCCCTATTTTTATTTGATATTTTGAAAGTATTTATGAAAAGCAATTCTCTCATTGAATTTTAACAAATTGTATCGTCTAATGTTTCCTCAATATAGAAAAATCAAGTTTCTCCTAATATAACCCACATAAAATAACTGTGATTTTGTTAATTTCAATGTATTTTAACGAAAAAACAAGGTTTGTGACCCCTACTTTGTACCGGGTACATGTATATTGAAATTCAAGAGAACATTGACCCAGAAGTCTTTTACAGAAGTTTAAGAAAAATCTATTGTCGACCATTTAGACACTCCAGCTACCTTTAAAGGACACCGTAAAGTAATCTAAAGGTTTACTGACTTTGTCCTCTATCACAGGTAACACTTGACTCATACTCAAACATATGATTACTCAAATTAAATATTTAATGAGCAATCCAAGAAGATTGACAAAGAAGATTGACAACAGAGGAAACAAACACAAAAAATTATTGAAATTTACTTCCACATTATATCCATCTTTTATAAACCTGGGCAAAACTATTCACTTACCATGGGGAACAGACCATTTAGACATGGCAGTGTCTGCGCAACCCAGCATGCAGGAATGAGTAGTCAAATTGGCCTTTGTAGGCTATGAGTACCCGCATCCAGTTTTAATAAAATATAATAAAATGTCATCGGATCGGGAATGAAACGTGAAATATACATGGAAATTACACAGAAATTATCTGCAATTTGAGGATTTGTGAATTCAGTGAAGAGAATGGCAACTAATATTTTTAAATTATTTATTAGTTAAAAATACATAATAAACGTTGCATATTAGATGCACACTAAACATGCTAAAGGAATAAAACTGTACAGTCCCTGTAAAAGAAAACATGATAAAAACTAGAAATTAAATATAAATGCACATTAAAAGAATAAAATTATACTGAATTTGTAAAAAGCTATGTGAAAACTCGAGTGTGAAAGTAATTTTCAAGTAAAATGCAAAACAGAAACCAAATTTTAAAATATCTACTTTTCTCTAAAGCCGCAATTAATTCAGTTTCATTTTAATATATAATTGTATGTAGTTATTTGATTGGTAATCTTAAACAAATTGTTCCAATTCATTATAACTTTTAAATGTCTTCCCAACATAAAACATGTAAAATAAGTATATCACATTCTTCAATTTTAAGACTATTTATTAGCTGAGAAAAAATATTCACTTACTATATAAATTTATAAAACTTCTGAGTAGCAGAGACATATATACACATGTACTGTACTGTGTATACATGTATATGTCTCTGAAAGTAGTAATCAATTTATTCACTAATTGCGATAATTTCTCTGTATATTTCATGTTTCATTCCTGATTTGATGACATTTTATGATAAAACCAGAAGCAGGTATGCGTAGCCTACAAGAGCTGAATTTGGCTACTCGTCCCCGCATGCGGAGTCACGCAGACACTGCCTTTAAACATTTCAAAAATTATATACATTAATACACACATTTAAATTTGAAATGAGGGCAACCAGAGTCTGGGGATGGACAGACCCTTCGTGTACAGACTCTGACTCATGAGTCTGAGGATGAACGGACCAGCAGTATACAATTAAAATAACCTTTCAAGACGACATAATTTATTGGACAAGACTAGAGTGGTGAGATGAATGATGAAATACACAAGATGATTAACTGGCTATATGAGTATCATGATATATCAGATCATATAGAAATAAGTGGATGTGGTATAATTGCCAATGAGACAACTCTCCACCAGAGACCAAATGACATAGTAGTTTCTTTGCATACCAATTATGTTAGGGATAAATAAAAATATGTTGTCTGCCATTTTGCTTTGCTGCAGTGACGTTCTTTCTAAAAATATTTCTGACTTTCTGACATGCAAATTCCTGATCAATTTCCGAAGCAGACGAAGAATTCAGTGTCATAAGTGTTCTCTGCTGCTAAAAGAAAAGTCCTGTTTTGCCAAACACTTTGAAGACCAATTTCATGTCAAAGGTCAGTAAAGTCTCGTTACTTACGAGACTTTCTCTTGGAGACGAAAAATCGGAATTTTCAAGATGGCTTCGAGGTAAAATGGAAAGCGACGCCGAAAATGCAAAAGAAATAGAAACTTATTCCTTTTTGCTTGGTTCTGCAATTAGAAATGAAGACACGAACCAGTTTTTGAGCATTTATGACTCTATTTTACCGTCTGGCTTGTCTGAGAAACAGGTATTCTAATCGTATCGATGTCAGGGCCACATTTGTTTTGAAGAATTTCGGCATGTTTTTCACGTTTATTTAGTATGTCAGTTGTGTTCGCAGTAGCTTTTGAAAACAGTACTTCTTAAAATTATTTAAGATCATTATTTCATCAGAAGTAAAACTCGTTTGAACCTTTCAGTGAACTTTTTGGGATGTTTTCTACGCGATTCTTTTTGAAATATTTGTGTAGGCTTTTGACCTTGGTAATTTGCATCTGCTAAATATTCATGAGTAATGGTCGTCTCCCAGTAGAGTAGTGTGTCGCTGCCCCTAATGACGTGTCTGTGATTATGTTACAGCCAGAATTCCCTTTTGTAGTCTTCCTTAAAAGAAACACTAAATTTTTTATTATCAAACCATAGTTAGATGACTTAAGATGGCACTAATATGAAAAGTTGTAAACACAGGTAGGCGGCAGAGAAACCAACATGTCTGCACTTATGTGTGCTAAATATGGAGTAGGTAGGGGACATTACACATGATGACATTACTATTTCTTGTTTCTTATACCCTGTTAGTCAGACAAACATTGTCATGCCAACCCTTTCAACACTGTTGATAGGGTAATAACAATTTTGCATTAACAAAGCCTTTATAATCTGTGAGTTGGCAAATAATGACATGTTTAAAAGGGGGATAGAAGATACACATATTATGATATTATCTATGGTTGAGAATGGTTCATCTTTAAATTTCTTCTTGCTTTTAATTTGAGACTTTCACAAATAGTTTGCAATGAAGTGTTAATAAACCTTTCTTATGTGGTCATTATTCACAACTTTAATGAGTATATTTTAAAACCTAATGGATTGCATTCTTCATCAAAACTTTTCTTAAGATGTAAATTAATATTTCCAGATAGAAAATGAACATGCTTGTGATGAGTTCACCTGGGATACATATATTCTCCTCAAAAAGTGGTAATTGTTGCTAACCATTTGAAGCACACGTCATTTGTAAAATGTAAAAACCACTTGCACTGTAATTTGTAAAGGTTTTCTTTGCAAATTTTTGAGTTGGTTGTCAATCACTACCAGTACGCTGGCTAGTGAAAATCATATTTGTTTCAGTCCCCACAGAAGTTTACTTCTACATGTAGGTTAGTTTAGAAATTTTGTTTTGCAACCTCAGTGCTGGTGCGTGGAAATAAATAGTGAAAACATGGTAAACATTCAGTATTGAAGAAATATAGTTTAAACTGATTCTGAAAGAAATTTTTTTGAACAAAAAATCATTTAAAAATTGTTTTGATAAGTTTAATTTACAAATGGTAACACATGGAAAACATACATGTAAATAGATATTATATTAGTTATTACTCAATCATCTCAATTTTTTTCACATTCTCTATGATTCTCTGTTGATTGTCAATCAATAGGTAATGATCGACAAACTTCGGAACAGGACTTAATACATGTATACATGCATGCAATGGTATAATCATTTCCTTAACTTAATTTCCAGAAACTCTTCATATGACTTTAAATTACTCACTTTAGAAAAAAGTATGAGCAAAGAAAAAACGTGTTTTCACTAAGAAATCTTGTATTAGAAGTCAGGTACTCAACATTATAGGCCATGACAGCAGAGTTCTCGAAAAGAGGTGGTCTGAAGGTCCTGACCACAGAAATTTTGCAAAGGACTGACACAATTTTAGAATTTTGCAACAGGAAAAAAAAATTTGAGAACTCTTGATTGTGAATCCAACAGTGGGAAGAAAATCAAAATCAATACCATTATGGCCTTAGCTATTTAAGTGTCTATGACAGGATAGAGCAAGAAAACAAATCAAATTTAGATAATGTTTTGTTATGAAATGGGCTGAGATGATGCGTCATTGAACAATCTTGAAAAGTTCAGAAATGATAAGTCTAGACAGATCTTTGTGAGATCTGGTCTTGGAGTATGATTATCGTACTCAACTCAGAATTCAACCAATCAAGATGTTGGATTTGGTGTTTCAATCACAAATTATATATGTACTCCCAAGTTCTGAGTAAAGTTTTATGACGGTAGGCCTGAGACTCATTAAATTTGTTATTAAGGCAGAATTTTTTTTTATGATTTTTCTCGCTGAACATTAAAATCAAACTCAAATTGAAAAGAATGCGAACCAAGAAAAGTGTTAAATATTCTTATTTTAGGCAGAAAATATTTTTCTATACAAATTCTTCAAATATAAAATTGAGAAATTAATACTTTTTTACTAACTTAAAATGGCCATCTTTCATGTCTTTCAGCAAATGAGTATTTGAAACTGGCAAATGAAATTTGTCCAAAATTCTCACTGAACATTAAAATCAAACAACAACCCAAATTGAAAAGAATGCAAACCAAGAAAAGTGTTAAATAATCTTATTTTAGACAGAACATGTTTTTATATATACAAATTCTTCAAATATAAAATTGAGAAATTAATACTATTTAACTAGTTTACCATCCATGGCCATCTTTCATGTCTTTCAGCAAATGAGTATTGAAACTGGCAAATGAAATTTATTGAACAATTTCCTTTAAAAATAAAATTAATCTAAAAGGTCCTATAAAGAATAACAGTCTTGTGAAGTCTCATGCATGCACATGATGTTGATATCTTCATAACAACATTAACAATATGTTGCCAGTCTATTGTACTACATGTATATACATTGGTACATGTACAAACAATGTATGTCTGAGGAAAGGTTGAGGATAGAGTGCTCACAGACATGTTTAAAAACGAGGTGAAAGTATTGATTGATTGTATATTCTTTCAAAGGAACATCATTTCATGCATTCCAATAATGTTTGTAAATAAATGTACTTAGTACTACATATGTTGCAAAATGTAACTCATAGACTAAATATGTTTCTTTGTTGAATAAAAAATGTACTAGGTAATGTTTGATTAAAAATTCACTATGCAAATTAAAGTGAAAGCAATTTGAAAAAACCCCGCCCCCAATCACCAGGCCTTGATGTTCATAAGCACTTTGATTATGTTCCATTCTTGTATTTTGCTTCTAGATTTTCACAGTTAACTTTTTCAAATAAGAAATTTTCACAGTTAACTTTTTTCAAATAAGGAAAGGTGTTACTGTATAATTGACATTTTATCCAAACAAATACAATATTGAAACTCACAATTTATAAACCTTATTAACAAAAAGTACAAATGTCATGAATGTAGACGAAAGTTATAAATGTATTTTCCAGGTACTTATACAATATATATATATATGGGTAACAAAAACTATTCAAAGTATTTAATTAGTTTGGTACATAGGAGCTTTTACAAAAATGTACTTCAAGATTTCAGAATATTTAAGTTTACATGTACCTGTATATGTACCTATTTATGATCAATTTTTCATGAAAATATTGTCGAATGAATGTAGAGGGGGAAAAAAGCAAAGCAAAATAACTTTACAATTCAATGACATGTTCTACTTCTCATATGTAAAATAACAGTTCATATAAATTATACTATATCACTATTGTTTCCTATAATTTTCAAATTACTGACCTTTTCCAATTTTAGAATTTTTGCAAACGGAAACAACACCTACATGTAGGCTAGGTAGGACTAACTGTATCCCTGTCTTTACAAAGTAAGAGGAATGAGCATGGTGAATTGCATTGTTATTAGGGTTCTCCCTAAGATGAATCCATTTGTCCTGGACTCCTGAAAATCTGAACTCAAAACTCATTAATTCTGAACTGGTGAGTCCATAGATCCATTAAAAACCTACAGTTTTGCACCAGCTGAGCCCAGATATCATCATTTTGAAAATCTACTTTCATGTAATTTTCTTGTTCTTGTATTGTCATGGAGAATTAATTAAATTATTTATTATAATAAAGACATTTTTTTCTCACAATGAGTCCCTGGAAATGGCTACAAAAATAATCAATGAGAACCCTGCTTGTACTTTCTGACAATAATTTTAACTTCATAAGTATATAATGCATAAAAACTTGATAGTAAGAATAGGATTGCAAAGAATGATACTGTAAACATTAACATATATTATAAATGTTCAAGTCAGAAGCCCCCATAAAAATTATGTGTTAATATATAATTAGGATTGTTCTCCTTTATGAACAAGGCTTTTTTGTAGGTTAGATGTTATTTTAACGTAAAAAAAAACAATAAATACTTAGGGGTAGGCACTCTGAGGTCTACAAAAAAGGATAGGAAGGTAAACCCCAAGCACAAGTGTTTTTTATTTTGGCCTCAGATTGGCTGCCTCATGAACAACACCAACAATGCTTTGAATGAAGATTATGTGATCTGAAGTGAGGTGCCAAGATTGGATAAGGACAGGTTTATATTGGTTTACAATTTTGCTTCTCATGTTTTTGAACCACTGATATTTATTATTAAGGATCCTATCAAAACTGAACCCCCTGAGAATGATTTCTGAATTGCCATAATTTTTGCCATAAAGCATATGTACATGTACACCAAAAAAATCTTTTTTAGAAAAGCCACAGAGTTTTTAGCCCCATCCAATTTTGGAACTTTTTATTTTCATCGAACTAGGAAATATTTTACAGTTTTCAGAATTAACATTGGATTTTCTATGTTAACATATGGTTATTTATTGTAGGTTGATACCATCAAGCAAAAGGCTCGTGCTATAGCAGATCTTACAGAGGACGATTTCACAGGTCTGGTGAGCAAGGCAAGAGATTTTAGTCTGGCTCAGGACAGAGACAAGATGTCCCACAGGGACCAAAGTTCTACACACTTCACAAATAGACATGCAATTTACCAGGATGATGATTCTGATGAACATTGCCATACATCTGAATCTTCATATTTTCGTGTTACAAATAAAGACGTCATTATTGACATCCCATCCTTTCCAGATGAGGAGAAGCGAACTGATAATGACTCAGGGATCTATAATTCTAGTAAGGCAACAACAAGTCTGTGTAGTAACTCAGATCAGGAAGAGAGTGAAGGGGAGGAAAGGGCAGCCAGTTTCGATTACTTCCCCCCTAAAGTGACACCAATGTATCATAATGAATATGATGAGGCATATGATGTTGAGTCAGATAAAGCATCACAAAATGACATTGAGTCCCCGCGCAGTGATAAATCTGGAACTAAGGAGAGCGATCAAGACTTTTATCAGGGTACAGAAATGGAAACTTTTCGTACCTACAGTCGCGGACAGGATGATTTTGAAACCAGTGAAGACAGTGACGATGAGGTGAAGTTTGCTCCTCATCGCACATTATACAATGAAAGAAGGAGTCGTAATTATTACACTCCTATGACTCAGGAGAGCACAGAGGAATATGGTGAAATGTCATCGTCAACCTTTTCTTTTGACAATAGTCGTAAGGCACTTAAAGACAACTCTGCTTCCTCTTTGAGAAGGGTAGACGATTATATTCACTTCCCATTAAGTAGTCCAACTCCCAGTCGCTACAGTAACTTTACTAGATATGATAAAAGTAATAGCACTGGGGTACATGTAGAAAAATCTGTGTATTCTCGTCATCATGATGATATGTTTAGTGGTGATAAGGACCCTCCATTTGGTCATGGAAAAGACCAAGTTGACAAAGTGGGTAAATCAATCTGTTCTTTGCTAACAAACAGTTGCTCCTCAGTTGATGACATGCCTGAAGGAAGACCTATAGCACAAAGTCTAGATTTGGCTGATGATGGGAGGAGAAAGAAAAAGAAAAAGAGAGGATCAAAGGGTTTGTAAAATGCTTCATCTTTTTCTTCTGAATCCCGTTTCTAATTGAACTCGTTTATTCAATATATTCTTTGTACATGTTTGTTATCCAGACTAAGTCCCAATCAATTTTGAATGTTAACAACAAGTACCGGTAAATTCCTAAAACAACCTGTGCAGAAAACCACTAGCCTGTCACTAGTATAATATTTTGGTTCAGGCCTTGGAATAATTTTTTAATTGGTTAGACATTCATTGTATTTGTTTAGAAGTATTTCTTGAAATGAGCTTTCAGTGCAATTAGGGAAAAAAGTTTTTGACACAAAATATTTTAATTGAGGGATAGTTTCCGGCAGTGTTACATGTACATTGTATTTAAAAAAAAATCATTTTCATTTGTTTGTGAAAAATAAAGTTTAACCAAATTTTCATGTTTTCCAAACACTGGCTTACAAACATGACAAATTTACAAAAAAGTTGAATTAAAATTCCTGGTCCAATATATCAGTCTAATCCAAATTCTTCAAAAGTCTAAAACTTGAATAACTTGTCAGACCAACCAAAGTTTAGCCAAACCATAAATTTCGATGAAATCTGTTCTTTCAGCGAAATCATGAAAATACCATGTTTTCTTTAAATTCAGATCGCATTTGAATATTATTTATATATATACATGTAGCTGGTACTTACAAATTTGTATAGCATCTTCTAAAGGAATCAATGAAAATCTATTGTGATATATAATTGTGTTGAAACAGTTTACATGATTTTAAACAACAAAACATTTAAGGCTATATTCAAAATGTAAACTGTATCAATTAAGATCATTACTTTTTCTTAATTTGACTCCTACGTCTGGAGAGGAACAGATATGTTTACTGGACTGTGGACAACTGGGACAGTGGGACCAGTTAAATGTTCTGGTTTGCTAGACTAATTCTTATTTTACTAGTCAGGACTCTCTGAAAGATAGCATTTTGCATATATATATATGAGTATACATGAATGATGTCCATTTTTCATTTGTTTTTCAATGTACATGTGACATGTCAGGGCATGTGGTCTTACATGTACTTTGAAGAACCCACAGCAATAGAGGGCCATTAGTCTAAATGCCCTTGCAATTGCTAAATTTATATATCTGAAAAGTGAGATATAAATTTTGCTTTAAATCTTATGTTTTACAAGTTTAATTTTTAAACATCAAATATTATGTCTAATTCCTTTGCTGCATTGGTAAATTATTGATTACATTTGACTGCATAACGTATGTTGATATTTAATTTATTATCACCTGCTCCAAAAGGAGGGGTATACTTGTTAATGTGTGTCCATGTTTCTGTCTTTCATACAATCTCTTTTTTGTATATTCTATATATGTGAATATGTTTTTGCTCAGTGATCAAGATCATGTCTCCTGGCAATGTTCGTGACATATTTGTATGGAATTTTCTTTAAAAAAAGATAGCAGCAGAAATAAGAATGTAGTCTGTAGTATTTTGAGCTTGTTTCTTTGATATGGTATAATTCAGCGTTGTCTTCTTTGTACAAATACCTGTGTTTTTGTTGTCCATTTAACCTGAATAATAAATGACATACATACATGTACATATATATTTGGTGCCATGATATCTCATTAGCATGAGTTCGAATCCCAGCCAGGGAAGAACAAAAATTTGCTTGCGCAAATTTACAGATCTAACATTGTTGGGCTGTTATTTAGACGAATTATATATATATATATATATATACATGTACACATATGTAAGTAGCTTTTCAGCAACAGTTTTCAGTAAATCAGTGTTGTTACACTTATTATACAAGACATTTCTCAAATAGGAGTTTTATTGAATGAACCAATAATAAAAATATTTAAAGGGACTAGCAGCTAGCAAGCAGAATCACAAATCTTCAACCTTACATGTAGGAATAATAATGATGAAAACATTGCTCATGTTGATAGCCTATGATTTAGTAGAGTTGTCTCCCTTTTGCCATGATTTTTGATATGTTGATAAATTGTTAAACATTTCTTGTGTAGTAATTGATGTACATGTATGTACAAAAGTATCATTATTCTCAAATATTTCTTACCAATGACAAACATACACCGAGTATTTATTATATAATGATTATCAACCCTTTTAGAAATAGAAATTTAGAAATTCTTTTTTCTACAATCATAGACCCTCGCAGTTTTAAAATTTCATAAAATTATTACAATGATACTTTTATGACAAGAGAATAATGAATAAAATACAGCATTAATGCAATTATAGAATAATGATCTATATGAAAGAGAAATCTTAATAGGGGAGACAATCATTTGATATTGTTATGATTACTTCCCTTTGTACATGATATTGTTGTAAAAAAAATCCTAATCTTGTGTTGTTCAGTTTTATTGACTATAAACATGATAAATTAAAACTTCTGCATACTTTACAAGAAAAACTTTCATAAAGTTTGTTTTTAGTTTAATTTAAAGGGAAGCACTTTTATGATAAGTCAATGGTATTGGTATGTAGTTTTATAAGCATGGGCATTTCTCATTTCCATGAAGGTTATTTGGCCTTGAGCCCTCAGTCATGATGCATTGACTTTGAATGTTTTGCATATACATGTTTGAACTTTGACATTTTAATTTCAACATTTGCAATTTACTTGCAAAAGTACAAAATTCAAAATTCTAGACATATTTCTGTGTAAACAGTTAACTAAAAAATTATAATTTTTCATAAACATCTTTTTGTGCTAAGACTTCATTGAAAATTGATATAGAAGTATGATATGCTATTCCAAATTGATTTCTTGTGTTGAAAATTATGTTCATATTATTATATCAAGGCCTAATAGTTAACCAAACAATGTTTTAGTAATTTCCACTTTCAAAATCTTCTGTCCACACAGATTTGATTTTTAAGTCATCTCTTGAGAAACGACCATGTGCTTAGAATGTGAAGCCAGACTTGTAAACCACTACTCCAGAGTCCAGATCCAATCCTCATAAAGAGGAAGGTTCACTGGGGTATTGCTACATTTTTTGTCACTAAAGCTTTCTAATTAGCACTTGTAAGTTACCTGGTTATATACGTATACACAGTGTTTGCAGGGCTCGACAATAACGCTTGTCCGATTGTCCGGTACCAGAGGAAACAAAGGTCGGACAAGTAAAAGCTATATCAAGCTTGTCCGACAGGACAAGTAAAATTATTCTGGAGAAAATAAATTTAATCCAACTTTGATGAACAAATTAATTATAAACAAAAAACAAGAAAAGAACATAAAAACAAGTATCAATTCGACATGTTTACTTGCAATCAATAATTTAAAACTGGTTATTTGTCAGGTACTTTTTAACAGGTTCTGGGAAACCAGTCTTACTGATGAATATGGCTGCCTTTGTAGATAAGGTAATTTTACAAGACAGTTCGTCACCAGCTCGGAAGCCAGCTCCAAGTTTAATAGACAGTTTGGCACCATAGGAGACATATTTAATAGACATAATAAATAGACAGTTTGGTAACCCAGGAGACATTTCAGGACCAAGACAAATCAGTACCTCGTTTTTCCTACCTTATTCTGTTGCTTTATAATGAATACCATACCGGTAATTTTTTTAACAAAAATATTTTTTAAATAAAAATGAAGAAATTATTTACCATAAAATTCACAAAATCGTATTTGATCATATGTAGAAAAAAACAATACTTGCAATACGGTGACCTATAGTTGTTAATTTCTGTGTCATTTGATCTCTTGCAGAAAGTTGTTTCATTGGCAATCATACCTCATCTTCTTTTTTTTATTGATTGCATTTGAATAAACTTTTTTCAACTTAAAAAACCAGGATACAAATCCAATGCGTGTACATTGGCAATCCTATCAGATGGTGCCTCATGTGCAGAGTCTGCTGAGACTTTGGCATTGATGAAAACTAGAACCTAAGTCCTGTGACATGACTAGATTCAGTTGTTCTCGACTCATATTTTTGTATAAGTATTGCAAAAGATATGTTAAAATCAAATTCTGTTCTATTGTTTTAATTCAATCAACTTAAAATGCAAAAAAGGTTATTATTAAGATTTTTTTTGGACAAGTTACAATTTCATTCGGACAAGTAAGTTTTGGTATGTACTTGTCCTACTGGACAAGTTGAAAAAAAAGTTATTGTAGAGGCCTGGTATGTTGTGGTCAGGGGCTTTAATTACGACCATTTCAAAAGGCTAGATGCATATAGTGGTTGGGGAGTCTATCCATCCTTTAGATTGTCCTTCTGTCCCACTATTGTATCCACAACTGCTCCTGAACCTCATGACAGAAATTTTGTGAAACTTTCAAAGAACCTTACTCATTTGATAAATGATGAACTTTTGCGCTTCCTTTTTCATTTCTTCATCCCAATGATTTCAGGGGTCTACTTGCATGACATGGACACCCTACAGTGACTTTGCCATTGCTTTATCTAAGGGGTACTACCCGGTACCTATTTTGTATCCACAACTCATCAACTCCTGACCTTTTGATTATAATAAATTGAAACTTTCTCAGGATCTTTTTCATATAATACCTTTGTTCACCTCTTATTTTGTTTTTTTATCCAAATCCTTTTTGGGATTTCTTTTAGCAACTGATGGATTTTTTCATTGCTCTATCTAGGGGTTCTAATTTTCATTATGATTAGAATTGAACAAAATTTAATATCTAGGTAGAATATGATTTCAAGAATTAATTTCTGAAGACATAAATTATCTGAAGATTCCTGTTTTTAAAATATCTGGTGGTGGCCACTTTCAAAATGGCATGGTTAAACTGTTTTAAAATAAATGCATATAAACTCCATGGAAAATATTAATTTTGCTTAGGCACTAAATTTCATCTTTTTCTTGTAATACAAAAACATTAACAACTATAACTGCTTTTCCAAGAACATGTATTGCTTTGTTTGCCTGGGAATTATTTATTTGTTCCTTTGCCTCAAACAAAAATGTTATGTTTTTGGCTTATTATTGAAAACAGAAA